TTTTAGCATTGTAAATCTGTTAACTTATCGCTGACTTATCAGGGGACTATTTCAGGGACAAACAAATATAATTTGATTGTTATTATTTTTTTTTTACAATCCAGACAAAAACTATATTTAAATGTCACTTGATTATCTGTTAAGAGGAACATAATTTTTAAACCAAAAAAAAAATACCAAACTTAAGATTTATCGTTGCTGTAGCACGCTACTTCTATAATGATCTGTAAATGAAATACGTAAGCGTTAACCAAGAAATTAATGCTGTTATAACTGCTAGTTTATAAACCTAATCTAGGCACAAATGAGAATATTTAGTGGAAGTTTCTACTAACTCATTAAAAGCCTTATAACTTAGGATTTGAAAAAAAAGATGTTATATACGCATTGTCTCCAAAGTTTCGATAAGATATTATTCATCACTAATGACAAAAGACATTAAAAATACTTCTAATTTTACAGAGAAAAAAGCCAGTAAGGAGAGAAATAACTGTTAAATCTCATAATTTTATTTTATAATAGTAAGAAGAAAGCGTTCTATCCAGACATATGATTTATAAGAGTTCAAAATTAGAAAACTCTCTGACTATCGCGAAATTAATCATAAAAAAATAAGACAGGCAACATTTTGAAGACTAATAACCCATGTCGAATATTATAAAGTCCGCGATTTTTAATTTCTGTTTAGGTTTTTATTAACTGAATGAACGCAGCGAGGCTCGGAATAAGAGATGAAAACATGGACGCCATATTAGTAATTAAGTTTATTGATTAAAATTTGCTTTCTAATTAATAAAAAAAAGATTATTTATTGTATGCCATTCTTTAATCGTATTAAAAATTAAATGTTATAATTTGTTTTTTATTTTTCTGCACTTAAAGACAAATATTTCCAAGTCAAAATGTTCTGGAAATTAAGTATCCCCCCCCCCCAATGGATCAGCGTCAAGTATGCAGACTTAGAACGCTTAAATCCGGAATTCAACCCCCCTGGTGGACAGATTGCAGATAACCTAGCTGTAACAATCCCTCCCCAGTGGCCTACCGGTAAGTCTATGGACTTATAACGCTTAAAATTTGGTTTCGATACCCGTGGTGGGCACAAAAAAACAAACAAAAAGCACTATAGCAAAACAACAGAGCAAGAAAAGTTTACTCTTCCTTGAAGCACCATTTAAGTGCCATCTACTAAGGTGAGAAAGAAAAGTTTACTCTTCCTTAAAGCACCATTTAAGTGCCATATACAAAGGTGAGAAAGGAAACTTTACTTTTCCTTGAAGCACCATTTAAATGCCATCTACTAAGGTGAATAAGAAAAGTTTACTCGTCCTCGAAGCAACATTTAAGTGATATCTACTAAGGTGAGTAAGAAATGTTTACTCGTCCTTGAAGCACCATTTAAATGTCATCTACTAAGAAGAGAAAGAAAAGTTTACTTTTCCTTAAAGCACCATTTAAGTGCCATATACTAAGGTGAGAAAGGAAAGTTTACTTTTCCTTAAAGCAACATTTAAATGTCATCTACAAAGGTGAGTAAGAAAGGTTTACTCGTCCTTGAAGCAACATTTATGTGCCATCTACTAAGGTGAGTGAGTAAGAAAGGTTTACTCGTCCTTGAAGCAACATTTATGTGATATCTACTAAGGTGAGTAAGAAATGTTTACTCGTCCTTGAAGCAACATTTATGTGCCATCTACTAAGGTGAGTGAGTAAGAAAGGTTTACTCGTCCTCGAAGCAACATTTAAGTGATATCTACTAAGGTGAGTAAGAAATGTTTACTTTTCATTGAAGCACCATTTAAATGCCATCTACAAAGGTGAGAAAGGAAAGTTTACTTTTCCTTAAAGCAACATTTAAATGTCATCTACAAAGGTGAGTAAGAAAGGTTTACTCGTCCTTGAAGCAACATTTATGTGCCATCTACTAAGGAGAACAAAACCTAATTCTACAGAAATGACAGTAATCTCAAAGCGCTGAACGGCTCTTCTTTTTTAACAAACAAAATCTTTGTTTTACGTACACATTATACCCTAATTTTTGTTGCTTATTAAGCATCATAATTACCTCTAAGGTTAACGAGAATGGACGTTTTATACCTCTAAGGTTAACGAGAATGGAGGTTTTATACCCCTAACGTTAACGATAATGGAGGGTTTATTTAAGAATAATTTGAAAAAGCGGCCTTTTTATACAAAAATGTATCAGTTCTACACGAAATGTATAAATACTTGAAATAAATATCAACTACAGGTATAGTAAAACGCCTTTGTTCGTTTGTTTATAGAATGAGTAAATGGCATGACAAAGCTTACAAAGATATTGGTGCAGAGAGGATTTAGTTGGTGTATTATTTGGTGCAAAAAGGATTTAGTTGGGTGTTATTTAGCGTATTAAAAAATATAAACCAATATTTTATATATCATCATACCATTTCGGAAATATTTTTTTTAAAACTAAAATTAGACTAAATACTTCAGTTACCGCGTTTCTTTGCCTCCCTATACGTAAATGTGAAAGATAAGAAGTTTGTAGGAAACACATTTCCCCGAGGAACGTATAGTAGTTCCAGTTTATAATAAAGTTTGGCTCAAAATATACATGTATAAAAAACCTTTTTACGTTCCAATGAGCCGCTTTAGGCTACCCAGGTCCACGTGTGTGTGTAGTATTATCACTAATACAACATTTCCGTGAAGTTATATTTAATCCTTCGTGTGGAATAATAATAAAAAAAAGTCTAGAAAGTTCTGAAAAAGAACATTAAACGGTTAAAAACACAAATTTTCAGCAAAGCGAAAATTTTAAATTTTCGTAAAATAAATTAAATGTTGGCGCCACGTAGTGTTAACTCTGGTAACCGAGTTAAAAAATACATTACTTCTCTGTGCACTGGTTATTATTAAACTTTTATTATTCTGTGATTTTCCTTCTCTTGGTTCTTGCATGCGTGGCTACCACTTTTTAACAATGAAGTTAGTTCAAGTTTAAAAATAATTAACAAACATCAGATTTAATCGTTAATAAATAGAAGGTTTCTCTTTAGAATTAATCATTTTTTGTTCATCGTCCTGCTTGGGTGTTTTTAAGATTCACTCAATTAACGCATTTGTGCTGCACGTATATATTCTGTAACGCTAGAAATGAGCAGTCTGTGTAATTTATTTCTGTAATATTTGAGCTAAGAGCAAGGTTTTATCTTTCATGCATTCAAATATTATTGACTACGATGGAAAGTTCGTTTTTCGTTTCTTTCTACCGTACAATACTGAAACACATACACACATATATATAAAGTTTGTTCATTATTATACATTTAATCCATTCCTTTATCAGTGGCCCGGCATGGTCAGGTGGTTAGGGCGCTCGGCGCGCAATCTGCGGGTCGCGAGTTTGAATCCCCCATTCCACCAAACATGCTCGCCCTTTCAACCGTTATATTGTGCTGATCAATCCCACTATTCGTTGGTAAAAGAGTAGCCCAAGAGTTGGCGGTGGGTGGTGATGACTAGCTGCCTTCCCTCTAATCTTACACTGCTAAATTAGGGACTGCTAGCGCAGATAGCTCTCGTGTAGCTTTGCGCGAAATTAAAAAAACAACAAACAAACCACCACGTGCTTAAAGTATTCATCACCTTTCCTATCACCTTCTTCTACTGCAACTTGTTTTACATATTCAATTACTCTACTTTTACTCTAGCTTATTTTCTGATCACACAGGTGGTACAAGGAAAGAGAAATAATCTACGGCGGACGTAGAGTGATCCAAGTTTTCGGATCGTTGATTCTTCAGTATGTGGGCTCCGCTGATTCAGGAAATTACGTCTGTGTAGCTAACAACACAAAAGGCGAAGAAAGTGTTGATATAAACCTCATTGTTACTGGTAAGATAACTTCATTTATTCCTTTATGTTTCAAAGATGTTTTTTTTTTTCTGTAATAGCTTGGAGTTAAAATGTTCTCTTCACACCACAACAGGAGTAGACCTTGACGTAGCTGAGGGACTTGTGGTAAACAGACTATCTTTAACTTGCGAAACACGGTTGTTGTCATCACACCAAAACATGACCATAAGAGTAGATCCGGGTTGCTGTCAACTTTATCAGACCTGTGGTAAATAGACTATCTTTAACTTACGAAACACGGGTTGTTGTCATCACACCACAACAGGACCATTAGAGTAGATCCGGGTTGTTGTCATCACACCACAACAAGACCATTAGAGTAGATCCGGGTTGTTGTCATCACACCACAACATAACCATTAGAGTAGATCCGGGTTGTTGTCATCACATCACAACATGACCATTAAATCAGATCTTGACGTAGCTGAGAACTTTATCAGACCTGTGGTGAACAGACTATCTTTAACTTATAAAAGACAAGTACTTGCATATTGGAGATGTTAATGCTACTTCCACACAACAGACTAATGTGTATTGTATTTTTATATACCAAGGAAAATAATATAGATGATAATAAGATAATAGTAAGTGTGTTTAGTTGGCTGTTTTCCAAACTTTTCAGTCACTGTCATGGACACATACATATCCTTCTCTATAACACTGCCTGGCCCGGTATGGCCAGGTGGTTAAGGCACTCGACTCGCAATCTGAGGGTTGCGGGTTCGAATCTCCGTCCCACCAAACATGCTCGCCCTTTCAGCCGTGGGGGCATTACAATGTGATTGACCGAATCCCACTATTCGTTGGTAAAAGAGTAGCCCAAAGGTTGGCGGTGGGTGGTGATCACTGGCTGCCTTCCCTCTAGTCTTACACTGCTAAATTAGGGACGGCTAGCGTAGATAGCCCTCGTGTAGCTTTGCGCGAAATTAAAAAAAACAAAAAAGTATAGCACTGCCATAAAAGTTTGAAATTTTGTACCACCATGAAATGAAAGAAAGACATTTCTTTTAAACATCCCAAGCTTCATACTTCAGGTTTCAGATAGGCAGTAGTATATTAACACTTGTGTATTATGAATTTATATTATGTTTCTAAAAATAAGCCTGACTCTGGGAAAATTTATTATCTATGAATATGGCAACGAAGTAGTTAAGAAGACTGTTACACTCACATTTTCTTTAGTATAAACATGACAGTAAAGTAGTTAAAGATGTTAAGAAGAACGTTACGCTTATGGATTCTTTAGTATAAACATGACAGTAAAGTAGTTAACGATTTTAATAAGAACGTTACGCTTATGGATTCTTTAGTATAAACATGACAGTAAAGTAGTTAACGATTTCAATAAGAACGTTACGCTTATGGATTCTTTAGTATAAACATGACAGTAAAGTAGTTAAAGATTTTAAGAAGCACATAACAGGT